AAGAGGACCTCTGTTTTTTGACCTTTGGTTCTCATTTGATCCCCACTTTAGAGAGTTTAGATGGTGAGCAACCCTGTGTTGTTATTTGGCATATATGAGTGTCATTCACTCTGCTCCTGACAACTTCCTCTAGCGAACAGGGAGAGAGCAGACAGAAATTCAGGCAATCTTGGTGATGAGAGACAGTTAAATGAGACATACCTATTAAAAAAAATAGCTTCAACTACTGAGTAAAGCAGGGGAGTCAGGACATGAAATCTATTTTTATACAAACTCACTATGAAAAAAAAAATTTTAAAAATCCAGCTCTTGTAAGGCTCTGTGAGATCCCCTGATGAAAGAATTTTCATAAATGCAGAGAATTATAATATGAAGTAAGCTGTCAAGACATATTGTCATGCCGTAGAGATCACAGGCATCCCATGAAGGAAAGAGGTGTGATATGTCATTCAGAAGCCTTTAAGAAACTGGTGTGGCTCTTGCTAGACTGGCAGAGCTCACCTGCGCTGGCAGAGAGTGTGAGTGGCATGTTGTGGTTGACCCTAACACACAACTGTATCCAGGGTTTCCATGTTACTGAGTGAGGGCCTGACCTGAATGTTTCTTTAACTTATATTAGTTATTTGATAATAAAAAGGCTTTGTTATTTGACAAAAAACATGATTAATTGTGGTTGTTGAAGCTGCCTCCTCCACAGCAAAAATGAGCTCAATGAACATGTTAATCTTGGAGGGGCTGGTTAGCTGGAACAGGCAGGACTGGGAGGAGAGCAGCACCGTCAGCTGGCATGGTGCGACTCAGGCAGAAGCAGTCAGGCTGATCTCACTACGGATTGGACCCAGCAGGCAACTTTCTCCATGCCTAAGTGGGAGTGGGTGCAGAGGGTGTGTAGGAGGAACGAGCTCTGATCCCTCGGCAGCTTGTCGTCAGGGTGGTGGTGAAAGCAGGAACTTTCCCCCAGCTTCTCGTCCCTCAAGCACGTGCACTCCAGCACCACGTGGATGCTGGAGGAACTTGCTGGCACCTGCCCCGTGGTGTCCAGCTCTGGGATGAAAGAGTGCCTGGGAGGTGGCTGCAGGAACACGCAGAGGCGATAGGTGATGTTGTTCTCCTGGACACTCTAGTGTGAGGGCACCTACCACAGGGCTTTGTGACCCAGGATTACACCACAGGCTTTTAAGGAACTTAGAGTAAATTCACTCTTGTTGCTTTAATATCAAGACTAAAATATTCAAAGGATGGACTTCCATCTGGCTTTGCATCAACAGTTAGTTTTGCCAGAAAACATCCATTCTTGTATCATTATGCCGTACCCAGCTCTTACACATGTGCAGGAAAGCAACTAAGAGCACATTCTCCTCAATCCTCTTCAATCCAAATTGCATAGGCAGCACATTCAAATTTCATGTAACACCTGTAATCTAGGGCACTCAGTATTGATTTTAAACAACTTTTTAAATCACCTGGTTTATGAGTCCTAGTATACCACAGTAAATTATGTCCTAAAAGCTTTGATATTTATTTTGTTTTTTGGCGGTAGGGCTGTTACTATTTTAGGAACATTGAGTTTTTATGGTCTAAAAACATTTCTGGTGGATGGAATTGTTAAATCATTCAGACGCTGTTTTTTTGGTGTACAACAGTGAGTTTACAGTTATGATATATTATCAGCCATGAAGTTCAGTGCCTGAAAGCCATTATTTAGCACATCAAGCTTTGCAGGACTCATCACTGGAAAGACAGTGACAACCCTGACGTGGCCAAGTACACTGCAGTATTGAGTATGTAGAGAATCGGGTACCTTCACATGAGAGTAGAAGTGTGCTTAACAGAGGGGGGTTTGCTAATCATAGGTTTGACACATGTTCTATGAATCTCTAGAGTCACAATGACCAATTTTTTAAGTCTCTTATTATAAATTGCAAAGAGTAGAGCTGTGGAACATATGGCTTTTGAGCAAACAGTTGCATGAGCCACAATATATCCCCTTCAGAACATTCATTTCATTCATTTCTCATGAATGTTTTCACTGGATTTTACCAGCCAGTAGATTTCCTGTCCTCTTTCTCATACCTATTATTTACCTGAATGATATGGAGCAAAATAACCATGTCAGGTGAGGAGTACCAAGGGCTCTCTACAGTTAGTGGTTGTACAGTTCCAGTAGAGTGACTGAACTGTGCCAAAGAAGGCTTTCCGGTGATAATGGACCTTCCAGACGGGCTGTTCTAAAACTGGCGTAGCATCATTTGAGCTGTTGAGAAATTTATTGACAGATCACTAAGTGCTGATACTTTAATGTCCAGAGGCAGATTTAGAGTTGAGTCAACAGAAGAGGACTGCTCCTCTGCATCAAGGCCACTAGCAGACTTTGGAAGTTCTAGGAAGGTGGCAGATGTTACAGCTCATGTCTGAGTGTGGTCTGTGTCCTCGAGGTGTAGTCTGGCAACTCTGCCCAGCACTGACAAATGCCTGCCAGCTGTCTTCGTCATTTGAGCAACTCATTCAGAAAGCAGAAAATAGGACTTTGGACACCATTTTTTTGGCCTGCTTTTCTTCTAAGGTGTCTGATCCAGCTGCTAGTGAGTCTTTTCCCATTGATTTTGGAAAGAATTGGCCTATGAGTCTTTCTTCTGCCTTATTTCTTCATACTGTGTAGGCTGGAAATGACCCTGTGTGCATCAATTATTGCCCTTTACTATTATAGACATGGTATAATAAATGACTTTCAAAATCCAATTTAATAACAACTAGGTTGTGGCTTTTTTTTGGGGGGGGAGTCCTAAAGACACCAAGAGGCCTGATAGTCCCTTCTCAGCCCCTTCAGGGCCTCCCCCACCTTGCCCGTGGCCCAGGATCCCATTACAGCTCCCACGTGGGGCTGTCAGCCCCTGCCCCAGCGATGCTGTAGGATGCTGCCTTGCCCTGGCATGGCCCCCCCTGAGCCAGTCCCACCCATGGGCTGATGTCCTGGCCTGGACTTGGGCTGTCCCCATCCCCACAGAGGTGCCTGATGCCTGGGGCTGCCCTGGTGCCCCCAGCCCTGGCAAGGCCTGCCCTGATGCCTCCTGTAGGGATCTCCCACCCACCCTCACTGTGCCCTGACATCTTTTTTGCATCCTCTATTGAAGCTGGAAGTCTGTTTCAGAAGCTCATTTGTTTCTTATTCAGGTCTTTTTTCTACTTTTCTACTCTAAAGCTATTTATTATGAGCCTGTAATTATTAGTGACAAATTTTTCTCCCACTTAGACAGAATTTTCCTTTCCTAACAATGCAATGATGCATTTGTAATGAATGAACAAATAAATTCGCAGTGCTGCTTTGGTGGATTAAATAAGCGAAGCCACCTTTATGTGATAGGGTCTCCAATTTCAGGATCATCCTGGACATCTTTCAGTTTGTGTCCCTCTCGACTATGAATGATTGGAAAGATACGCATTACCCCAGAGAAGACAGCAGAAACACATCACACAATAATATTGATATTTTCCTATCTGTGCTTGAAATACTGTAATTAATACATCCAGGGATTGCCTTTGCCTTTTCAGAGTTGCCCTTCATTGGCAGTCTGAAGTATCTTGTTATTTAGTACATCTAGATCCTCTTCCTTTATAACAGCAGTTTGTGTTGTAAGTGCTCCAGGACTCATTTGTCTATTGTGTACCTGCGGTGTCCTCTTTATTCTCTTATACTGATAAGAAATGGGAAAATTAAGAAAATGAAGAGTACAGACAACAAATTCCCAAAGAGTGATGAGTTCAGGAAAATGACCCAACACCTTAGCAAAGGCTAAGCTATGATTTTGAACATTATAAAAAATATCAACATAGTTTAAAGAGAATATTTTCTGATCTAAGGGGAAGACTGTAACTGTCTGGAGACCACCTGTGGGCCTCCAGTGCTGCAGGCTGTGGAGAGACATTCGGTTCTGTGCAAGTGACATCTCACATTAGTCAGTGCATGAATAAATACTGAGTAATAAGCCCGTCTTCCTGAGCTTTGCAAGTCTTCTTGTTTTCTCTTTTTTTTTTTTTTTGCATAAATGTCGTTTCGTAACTGACATCTTAGTAATTTCAAAGAGCATCCTAATGGTTCTTAGCCAAACTCTGTATACAGGATTGCTGCTGTTCATTCACAGTGGTGCAGAAGCGGTAACTTGTAAGTGATCATGAAACAGCATACAATTTTGATTTTGGTACAGAATGCTTTTTGTGCACACATAAGAAACACTCTAGATAAACTACTATTAAATTACTCTTTTTTTTTTTTTCTGTGTACCAAAGGACCTTTGAAATTTGGGTTAACGTTTGTTTGCCAGAAGTTCTACGGCAACACACCTGTACACGTTAGTAACTTCAGTAAGAGAGTTCAGTATTTGAAGACTACAAGCAATAAGCAAGGCACAGTTTAGGCAAGCTTGTTCATCCGAAGTGCTCTTTTTTTCTGCTTTTACATGCGGCATCCCAGCTTAGAGAGCACATATTGCATATTGAAGTGGAAATTTAGACATTAGCCATTTCCTCAAATGGCAAGATTGAGGTCCTAGTCTCCTTAAGAAAAAGAAGAGATACTTTCTACACTAAAGTCTCAGAAGAACAACTTCTTACATTAATAATGGAATTAAGAGTGCCTGATTTCCAAGGCTTTGTGTGCTCTTCCTATACCCCTCTCACTATTTTATATCAGGATTCTCCTGCTGTGTTCTCTGTGACATTCTTTGCATCTGTACCGCCTCCAGTAACTCTCAGTAACTAACAGTTATTTCCACACAAATTCTCTTACATATTACATAGTACAGCTGTGCCCAGTATCGAGCTGTGTTGATGCTGTTTGGCTTTTGACAAGGCAAACAGAAGAGAAAATTGTTGAGTTTATACTGGGGTCTTTCCTTGAGGGACACGAATTTAGGTTGCTTTCCTCTCCCTCAAAGAGAGGAGAGGAAACCCTCAAAGGTTTCATGAAAACTGGTGAAACTGGTAGGAACCTAATTATCTTTAAAATTACAATTCTCTGTCAAACCTGACTGATATTAGACAATGGCTCACAAATTATGAGAGGGGTGGATGGATGATGGATGGATGGATACTAGAGTCACAAAAGCCCCATTTTTGAGGAAGCCAGAATGCAATGATGGCTTGCTTCAGGCATATGTTCAAAGTCTAAAAATGCAGCATGACTTGTCTCTTCCAAAACCTAAAAATAGGGGAATGCTTTACTTATCAGTTGTTTACATTTAAGTAATGGAAGTCTGCCCCAATGTATCATTAATAAAACTCAACTCTAAAGTAGCATTAATCATTTTAGCAAAAATAGAGGAAGTCAAATTTAACAACGCCTTTTGACATTTTGTGGGAACAGGCATTAGAGTTTTTCTGGTCTGGGGAAAAGAAATATGTGATCAAGTTGTGCACAGACACTTGGGGTGTGAAAGTTACCAGTGCTGCGGTGTGCCAGTCGAGAAAGAGCCTTGAGAGAAGAAGGGAGAGCCTGGAAAAGGAAGCGGGAAGAAAGGCAGATTTCCTGTGGGTTCTTAGTGTTCATGTGAGCACTCTGTGTATCTGTGATCTGTGTGTCAGAGCATGTATATGTGTATATATGTCATATAGGTGTCCTCTGTATGCATGTGCCTACTAGGAATACATCTTCAGCCACACTACTAGTTGGACCTGGGACATGGAGCTGCTGCAGCCTCACCCCTCTTGGGCTGTTAGATCCAGCACGATATATTGTCTTCTAACAGTGATACTTAGCCTACAGATGCCAATACTTTCAAATGATACAGCTGGTCTGTACTCAGTGAAATATATTGAAGACTGGATATGTTGCAGCACTGCCTTAACACTCTGAAAGACTTCTAAGCATGAACCTATTTATCACCTATAGATGATTAATTTCCTCTGTGAAGGAAAACAATAGGGTGGTTACGGTTTCCCAAAGAAAAGACTAGCTATTATTAAAGAGGCATTTATAAAAGGTATATTCTGACTGTGAAGGCATATTTTCTGGGAAGAATTACTGAAAAGGACCAAAACTCAACACCTCTACATTCTGTGTAACAGCATTATTTAGTCTTTTATGTAGACAGACACCATCTGATACGCCTCCCACGTTCCAGAAAG